GCAGGGGCGGCGAACAAATAAAGAATGTTCTACTAATATCAGTGACCATTCTATAAATGGAAGGATTGCGGAGATCATGAGAGCGTACATAGTAGCGCAGGCAATGGGCATCACGGCGATCGGATAAGATGGAACGTTCGCTTCTGCATAGAGGCTTTCGACAGGGGAAGAGCGAAAAGCACCAAGGCATAAACGTAATCCTTGGTGATGAATGGGGTTAAGGCTAGAGAGAGTAGCAGGAGATGCCGCTGAATAGATCTGGTCACCATAATCAGTTTCGATAAAATAAGGGTGGAATGTAGGTGAAGGAGGGTTCGACGATCACTCCCCACGAAAGATGAGCAAGGGTTTTAAGAAGGTTCAGCCGGCTGTGACAAGTTGCCTTCAGAGAGGTAATGTGAGGTTTCCAGGATAACCTACGATCAAAGAGGAGGCCCAGAAACTTGACTGTATCACGTTCAGGGATACGTGAGCCATAGAGGTACAAAGGATGATCAAGATGACAGAGCGTCTAGTGAAAGTGATTTGTGGGTTTTAGTGCTGGAAATTTTAAACCCATGTGTGGTGGCCCAATTGAAACACGGTCGACTGCATGCTGGAGAGAAACTGTAAGGAGTGACAGTCAGCGCCTGCACAGGCAATAGCAAAGTCATCAACATAGAGTGATGACCAAATATTTGATGGAAGACTAGAGGCCAAATCTTAATAGCAAGGAGAAAAAGTGTTGTGCTCAGAACACATCCCTGGGGGACACCTTCAGCTTGGACAAAGTCCGGGGAGAGCACATTATAACCCGAACACGGAAATGCCTGTCAGTTAAAAAGTTCTTAAGGAAGGATGGTAGATTGCCTCGAAGGCCTAAGGAGTGGGCTTGGGCTAAAATATTATACCTCAAGTTGTGTCATATGCCTTCTCAAGTCAAAAATATGGCAATAACTGAGTGGTTATTCGCAAAGGCATTACGAACATACGTATCCAAGCGCAGTAAGGGGTCTATGGTAGAACGTCCCTTACGAAAGCCATATTGACGAGTGGAGAGACTGTTGTGTGTCTCTAAATACCACACTAAACGTCTATTTACTAGACGTTCCATTACTTTGCAAACTGCACTGGTAAGAGCAATGGGACGATAGTGGGAGTTTCATGTCCCGTAGTGCCTGGTTTGCGGAAAGGGAGAACAATGGCGGATTTCCACAGCTGTGGAAAACTCTGTGACCAAATAAGATTGTAAAGGTGTAATAGGACTGTAAGGGCTGACTGATGTAAATGTTGTAGCATACGAATATGAATGTCGTCGGGCCCAGCTGCCGATGATCCGACAAGCTGAGAGGTTGCCTCCATTCTTGAAGTGTAAAAGGCACAATTATACTGTTCTTCTCTGAGAGAAGAAAAGTCCAAGGGTGCTAACTCTCTGGCAGACTTTGAGGAAAGAAATGAGGGGCATAGATGGAGTCCCTGAGAAATACGGACCAGATGATTGCCAATTTCATTGGCAACATCTAGTGGGTTGCTATATCAACACCGGCAACCCGCAGAACAGGAGCCGGGTCAGGAGAATATTTACCAACTCAGTTTCGTACTTTTTTCCAGACTGCACTCATAGAGGAAGCAGAGGTGATGGTGGAGACATAATCTCGCCAGCAAGTGCGTTTAGCGTCACGGATGACACGGCGAGCGATCGCACGCTTCTGTTTAAAATCAAGGATCGCTCTGTGGTTCTATTGTACCGGTACCTGCCCCATGCAGCGCGTTTCAAACAGTACTGCACGAGCACAAGCAGGAGACCACCAAGGCACGCATTTCTGAGAATGCCTGCCCGAAGTTTGGGGTATAGAATGAGAAGCTGCGGTGAAAACGGAGACGAGAAGAGGTGTAAAAGCTCATCGATGGAGGACGAAGAAGGAACCTCTTTAAAAACAGTCAGGTGTGAGTAAAGGTTCCAATTTGCCCGATTAAATTGCCAGCGTGGGGTGCGAAGAGGTGGCGAATATGAAGGGGGAAGTAAGAATGATTGGGAAATGATCACTGTCATGTAAGTCCGGGAGAACAGACCAAGTAAAGTCTAATGCGGCGGAGGAAGAGCAAACTGAGAGATCGATGCAAGAGAGAGTATGAGTCCGAGGATCAAAATGGGTGTGAGTTACCTGTATTTAAAACATGGAGGGGGTGGTGGCAAGAAAAGCCTCTAACTGAATTCCACGGAATCACAGTGAGACCCTCCCCAGAGGAAATGGTGGGCATTAAAATCACCAAGTAACAGAATCGGTGGCGGTAATGACGAAACAAGGAAGGCAAAATCCGGAATAGATAATGCCCGAGAAGGAGAGAGATATAAAGAACAGAGCGTATACCACCTATGTAAGTGGATACGGGCTGCTGTGTAATGCAGCGAAGTATGAACAAATAGCTGATGGTACGGAATATCAGTGCGGAGAAGAAGGGCACTTTCATTAAAGGTCCCATCAGGAAAAGGATCTGAAGAATACAATAAATTATAGCCTGAGATGTGAGAAATAACAGCAGAGTGTAATTTTGGTTCCTGTAAGCAAACACCAACAGGGCAAACTGGGAGAGTAACATCTGAAGCTCACCCCGATTACCCCTGAGGCCGCGTATATTCCACTGTAAAAAGGCCATGATTGGCAATGATAAAGATACTTGAAATCCGCAGGTAAGGGTTCCTACGACTAGAAGGGTTAGAAAAGTCCACATGCGGAGGCATGGAAAATGTTCAAGCAGCGAAGGAACGGTGCGCTGTGAAGAAAGGAGTTGCGCAGATGGCAGAGGAGAGAGGAAGAGCGGAAGGTGGATCAGTGTCCATTGATGGTTTGGTCTCTGCAATATATTCCAGAGATTGCTTCAAGTGTTTCGGAATTCAGAGATGTCGTATGGGAGACAATATTGGGAATGGTAGGGGAGATGAGTAAATTAGGAACTGTATTGGACTGTACCAAGGTAGGGGGGGGCGAAAGGGTGGAGGGAACTGGAGAAGCGTGGCAGGGGACAGAAGAGACAGGAACCTGGGAGTGGCAGAAGAGGAAGAAACTTGGAGGGAACAGGGGAGAAGGTACATTACGAGGAGGAGGGTGAACCTCTGCACTTGTAACTGAGCCAGTGAGAGGGAAGAACTAGGGACAGAGACAGGGAGGTAAAATGAGGAGGTGGAAGATGGTAGGAGGTGTTACCGGACCTTTTTTTGACTTTTGAGAAGTAGAGGGACGATTGGGAAGAGGTGTCGTACGAGGTCTCGTCGATACTGAGGCTTGTAAGAGAGAACTCGAAGAAGCGAGATTAGACTGAGGCGTTGAAGTAGGGACGTCTGAGCCGAGGACAGCAAAAGGATTAGATACAGGAGTGATTATGGAGAGGTAACCACAGAGGTGGGTGTAGAAGATGGATACCAGAAGTGGGGGGACGTTTTGAAACACGGGAATAAGAAACACGTGGGAGTCTCCCTTGGAGGCGGAGATGAGAAACTGCCATGGCATAAGGAGACCTTCTGTCTCTTTGAGGTAACGGATTTCCCGCTCGTTTAAATAGACCTGACAACGGCGAGAGTACGAAGGGTGAGCCTCATGACAGTTAAGGCAAGAGGGAGATCGATTGCAAGACGTATAGAATGGTCATCGGCACCACAGACTGGGCATTCGGCGATAGATCTGCAATATTTCGCTGGATGGCCAAATCGCCAGCAATTTCTACACTGTTGTGGTGTAGGGATCACCTTTCGAACTTGTAACCGATGTCCTGCTATATAAACGGAGGATGGAGTTCTCGGCTGTCAAAAGTTAAACGAGCCACATTGCTAGGGTATCGTCTCCGCCCACGGGCAGGAAGAACGTAAGTGTCTACCTTGAGGATTGGGAGATCTTGGAGTTCCAGCTGTTCTAGAATGTCGGTGCCACATGTCTGGAAATTTGTTGAACTATGGTATGGGGCAGAATAACGGTACCACTACAAGAATTGAGGGAATGATGTTTTTCAAGGGTGACAGGAACAGTATCTATATGGGTAAGACGAGAGAGCTCACGAGCCTGGGTAGCATTCTGTACGGTAATGATGCGCGTACCGCTCTTAAGAGCATGAAAAGAAATATCTTTACCAACATGGCGTAGGAGTGCCTTGCCAATACTATGGTCAGAAAGATAGGCAGTAGAGGAAGTTGGTCGTAAAGTGAAGAATTTAGTCCACTGTTCAGTCTGAAACTGAGCGTGGAAAGGTAGTGAAGGACGTGTCGATCGTTTCTGAGAAGAACGAGAAGGTGAAGGTGGAGAAGTATCATCAGCAGGTAATTGTCGTTGACGTTTAGGGCGTGGGACCAGAGTTGGTCCGACGTGGAACGGGTCGGCGATTTGAAAATTGCCGCACCGTAGAGGGAGAGGCCGAAGCATAGTCAAAGGAGAGCGAAGGTCTGATAAATCGAAGGAGTCAGTCGAGGCCTCAGTACCTGAAGCGGGTGAGGAAACAGCACCGGCAATAGGTACAGAGGCATGAGGAATGTCTGAAGAGTGGTCCAAAGACGAGGCGGGGTCAGAACGGGTGCGGTATCAAGAAGGGGCCCGGGGTACCAGGTTCATGGACTAGGGCTGCCATGGTTAGGTTACTTCTTTCTTTTGTTTTTAAGAAAAAAAAAGAAAGAAGAAAAGAAAATAAAATAAAAAAAAGAAAAAAAAAGGGGGGGACCGGGGAGGGATAGTTCCTAGGAGGATGAAAGGGCCAGAAATCTCCCTCCGCGCCCAAGAGGATCGACACTCCGCTAGTAGCGCAGATGCAGCATGGAACCCGTGCCATACCCTACCCTTCTGCCAGTAAACCAGCAATCTGGGATAGCAACCTCACATCTGCCGAGCTACCTCGGTGGACAAAAGAGAGGGCGGCCGGATATCCGCCACAAAGCATACCTCTTCAGCCACCACCCCCGGAATCCGAAAGGTGGCTTCCAGAGCTACACCCGTCGCCCAAAAGACACCCAAAGCTACTCCGGATACCGGAGAGGATCGGGACATCCCTAGGCAATCCAGATTCCACGGCAAACTACGCCACCGCCAAGAAACCTCAACGGAATGGGATGGACCCCGGTGTCCTTTCTCCTACCTAGGAACTAGCGCGCCTGTGGGAGAAATCCCAAAGGACAAAAAGAGGAAGGGCAAAAGGGAGGAGTGGGGAGGAGGAGGAGGAAAGGAAAAAGGGGAGGATGGGGAGGATGGGATAGGGGAGGGGAGATTGGGGGGTAATTAGGTTCGGTCTGAGGAAGAAGACCGATAGGTCTAATTCCTCAGACCAAGAGCCTCTTCACCACGCCAAGGAGCCCCCCTTGAAGAGGAAGAATGTCTGTAGTATATGTATATACTGTATTCACGCATGTGCACACACACACAGACTGTATATAATATTTATATTATTTGTGAGATCTCTTAGTGGATAGATAGGTATTGTATGCCAAGCAATAAATTCTCCCTTATTTTTGTTTCAAAGGAATTTTATGAATGAATATATGGGATCATGGTCTAATCCATCTCAAGCAAGTTCATACTTGATGCTTTACTTGGTTACTTGTCTGCTGCTGGACACTGGAGCTAACAAAAGGCACACCACATCAGCTACAAGAGGCAGCAATAAGTAATGACCTAGATATAATGGTGAACTTCAACATGGAATTTAGTTGAAAATAACTACTTGCCAAGAAAGTATAAACTGATTAAAGAAAGTAGGCTTCAACCTTTATAAATGAAAATTATTAGATTTAAAATGTGATATTATCACTGATAATAAATTAATTGTAAGTAAATTTTAAGGAAAGGAGATAAGAGTGAAGTAGAACTGTATTCACTATATCTAGGTTTACCTGTACTTAATTTTTTAACCTGCAGGAATACATTCATAATAATCTGAGCAATCTACACATATTCTCAATGATAACCACAAAACCAGTATCAACAAGCCTTGAACCCATCAAAATACTGTATCTGGACTGATTCCATGAATTAGTTTTCTTGACATATTTTGAACATTTCATCCACATCATAAATAAACTTTCATGCACTAAACATAACCAAGCACTTCTAAAAAAGTAAGCTTGTAAAATCATGTGGTCTACCATCCATGCATATATAAATACAGGTGTCACATATTCAAAAAGCTATTTAAAAACATACAAACGTGGTATGGACCACGGGAAATAAATAACCTATTATCTGGCACATAGATTTTATGAATTTATTGATATAAACTTTCTTAGAATCATAATGTGGCTATGATCAAACATGTTAAACTTAATTATTTTAAGCATTATAACAAATTAAGACTATTATATGTTATCTACAGTAATTCATTAAAAGTGTGATTAATTAATTTTTTTTTATCAACAGTAATAATTACATAATTCTATTTTGTTTATCACTGCTAACATACATACACACACATACACATACACATACACACACACACACACACACACACACACACACACACACACACACACACACACACACACACAAAACATTACATTCCAGTTGGTTAATTAATATTTTATTTTATTTTTCTACAGCTACTGTTGCATCCTGTATGCATTTAAAATAAGATTTTAAAACTTCCATTGTCTTTGTAAACAGTATGTATAGAAAAAATAGAGCTTCAGTGTAGCACTGAAGTTATTAACAACAAAAACTTGCCAAATTCATCACATAAAAGTGCCTCCTACCAGAGATAAAGAGGCAGAAAGGTTTTACTGAATGGTGTGAAAATGTAACCATTATCAAATAATCGTCTGGAGTCCTAAAGAAGTTCGCTTTTCTACTGTCAGAAATATAAGAAACAAAACCATTTACAACTGACAATCGCCAATTACAGTACATCTCAAAGGCAATTATCTGATTAGAAGCTTGGGCTGGTAGTATGGAATGGAGAATCTCTTTATATCACTGCTGCTGTGTTCTTCCCTTGAGTGAGGGAATAGCCAATTGTAGAATCATTGTCAGACATTCAAAGAGTCTTCATATGATGATAATGTTTTAAAAAGCACTCAAAGCTTGTGTTCAAAGATTTCTACAAGTTGGTTTTGCTATTGCACAAGTGAGGCAGCCACCACTTGCTTGCTTTGAGGAACAAAACTATATGAAAAGAATATAGATTAACACAGAAATCATATACTTTATCGTGTGAATAAAAAAAATATACAAGGAAAGAAACAGGAAATGACAGACACATACAAGTAAAAGAAAAAAATATTAAGAAAGTAGTATGGTATACACCAAAGTGAATATTATATATGGCATTTGAGGAAAATGTAACAAATTATTAGGTAGAAGCTACAGAAGAGGAATCCTCAGAAAGAGAAAAATAACCCCCCTTTACTTCCCCCACACTAGTGCCTCCATGGACAACCCAAGCCAACTGGCTCACTACTTAGCCCATGGTAAACTTAAATAATACCTCAGTTATGACTATGCAGAATTTTGAATATGCAATGCTTGACTATAACATGTATTACAACAATTAAAGCAAAAAACCTATATGTATATATATATATATATATATGTATATATGTATTAATTAACAATTTTTAAGCCACATTCTGTACTACCTAACAAAGAACATTAAACTATACCTAATAAGGGGCATTTTTCTTAACATTGTGAAGAAATTAGTGATTATGAGCCACAAATACCAATATTATTTTTTCTTATGTAATGGAAATATGCCATATGAAAGTACAGTAGCTGATACTTGAAAAATGTGGCAGATTCTGATTTAATGGAAAAAACAAGTTAGGATGATCAGTACTAATACTGAATTACACACGACTCAATTCATGGAGGGAATTTGAAAGAGGTATAGCTTAAATAGAAAAGTGCTGAGTTGCAACACTTGATTTGTCATTCAAATCCTGATCCTTCCAGGGCTGGATGTGGTTGAAACACATTAGCCCTATGTTACCAGGTCACATTACACCATGTACTTTGTACAAATCTATTATTGAAATGATTATTGAAATACTGCCATAAAAAGTAATAAGTTTTAACATCACTAAATCTGACCAACAGACAAGAGATGCACCAGCTTCTGTGACTTCTAACCTTCCACATGTATATGAAGACTAGGTCTTGACTAGGGTTGGCAAGATTACAATAAGTACTTGAAAAGGAAAGAAGGAAAGATAATACAACTTAAACAATCACAAGTAGGAGTTCAACTTATGTATGCAATAAACATTTTAGAGCTCCACAATATATGGCAATGGAGCTAAAATTTCTTCACAAAAATATTGCCACCAGTTGAACAAACATGAAAATTATGTACAAAGGAGTTTATTATAAAAATATTGACTGTATAAGATTCTTTGCTGTGCTTCTTATTAATTGTGAGATCCCAACATTTGGTTGTATGTAAGGTATGCACCTATACACTGTAAACAACACCATGCATATGCACTTGCACACTTTCACAAGAAATAACCTGTAAACTTCCAAGACTTAACATTATATGCAACACCAACATTTCATTCTCACTCACTACACTTTGTAAAGATATTTTGGTTGATAGATACTGATATACCAGCCCAAAGTAGTGCTGCAGCAGCAATAGACTGAGGAAAACACTAGGGTAAAGCTAGTACTTGTTAGTGGGTGGATCAGTCAACAGGGTGATTATGCACCTGTTCCTGGGACCTGCCAGGCTGAGGACACAAATTTTATCCATATCTACATCTCAAAATAGTTGACTCTCCTATGTACACAACACATCATTATATCACACTCAATAATGTCTACACCTGCAAACAACTTGCATTATTTATATAGTATATACCACTGGATTTGGGAAAATGCATATTACAAATGCACTAGATTTTTGTTTTGTTTTTAATTGTTTATAATGTCTCCTACATTGTATCCAGTGCCTCAAGACAGACTACAACACTTTGAGGTCCCATGTATTGCTAGTGCACCATTTGACTTTTCAGAACGATTCTTTCGACCTCCTGCATTCTGATTTATGTCCATAACATAATTGTTCCGCCCAGGCATCAGAGATCCATTGGTAGCACTAGTCCGCAAAGAAAACTTATTAGAGGGGCGTTCCCCACATGCACTTAGAGATTCCATATGTGACACTGATTTGGTCATAGATGGGGAGTGTGGTGGACGAGTGATTACCTGTGAATCTGAAACTGGTCGAGTCCCTACTGGTCGACCTGATCGGGGAGAATCTACAAGCCCAACTACTACATCATTAGCACCAATCACCCGAGGAGATCCTGTCTCCTTTGGGACAAAACTCTGTGTGTCAGTTGGTGTATCTATATCTCCTACTATGGAGTCCTGGCACTGTCCATTATCATCGGTTACACGAATTACCACACGATCACCAGTTAAATTTCCAGGTTGCACAGGCCTTCTATTATTTCCTGTTTCAACAGATGGTCTATTTTCAATATATATTGTAGTAACATTGTCTGTGGATACAGTTATATTACTAGATGAACACTGGTCAAGAAGTGATGCTTCCGATACACTACACAAAGGAAGTTCTTCCTGTTCCCCACTAGCCATAACAATACAGTTTAAAGAGCGACTTTCTCGTAATGTTGTATCTATATCTAACATGTTTTCTGTGCTACCAGCTTCCTCCTTCAAAGCTCCATTCTTACGTTCATCATCACAAGCAGCAGACAGGGGCCTATTTCCACGAGCACTGCCTTGCCCTTGTAAACTACCATTGCAATCAAGTGAAGGCGGAACAAGTGTTTGATTATTAAGTTCTTCCCCTGTTGCATCATTATCTCGTCTTTCATCCATTGCTTCACTGTTTACTTCCTGCAAATCACACGATTCCTCTTGGGAGTCCCGAGTAAGGTGCCTTGTGAGTGCACGTTGCTGCCGCCTTTTTCGTGCATCCTGATCATCATCAGAGGCATCTGAAGAACTACATGATGCAGTTCGCGCTCTAACAAGGCGATGTCTACGCATGATAACTGGAGAAGCAACTGCACCCCCTAAACTGTTCCCAGAAGTTGTGCTAGCTACACGACTGTTTCCACTACTGCCTTCCCCATCCGATTCCCCTTCTTCAAATATTTCATTAAGCATTAACTGTGGTGATGATCTAACAGAATGAAGTCTCCGATTAGGTGAAGGTAGCGTTTTGAATTTGTGGTTGAAGAAAGAACCCTGATTCTTTGGTGATGATGGTAGTTGTTGTGGTCCTGGAGAAGTAGGAGAGGATGCTTGTGATGTTGGAGATGAGGATACGGAGGACTGAGGGGTAATTCTAGGAGGCGGTAAAGTGGGGCCTTGTTGGGGAAGTGTGGAAAGATTATTATTGTTATTATTATTATTGTTGTTGTTATTATTATTATTTATATTCGAAGTGGGTGGTACTAAACTGCTTGGAGGAGTTGTGGCTGGAGAAGTTCCAGCACTCTTGGCTCTCCCTCGTCCAAGTCCAATATTTGAAGAGGGAGGAAATGGGGGTTCTGGTAAAGGGGGATCATCACCAGAAGGTGATGTGGCAGCTGAGCCTTGTAGAGAGCCTTGATGTGAGCCACTGCCCCGTCGAACACATTCAAGGCGATGAAGAAGTGATAAGTCTAACTTCATGTCTCTTACACATTTGTCCTTAAGGGAAGAGCTACTAGATGCTCTAGACCCTCTTCTAGAACCACTTCGAGATCCACTGCGAGATCCACTGCGGGAGCCACTGCGAGAGCCACTTCTAGACCTCTGTCCTTTATCTAATGTATCTTCCTCCTCCTTTTTCTCATCTATCTCATCTCGTGGCTCTTCCTCCTCTTCCTCTTCCAAGATACTAAAAGTTCTCATACGTCCTCCAGTTCGAACCTGTAAAAGTTCAAGATACAATATGTTATCTGCAAGTACTCGACTGAGTTCTGTAACAAACAAAAAAAAGGAAGCATGGAGGAAGTGATCATGTTCAGATATCCAGGAGTGAACTTGCTGGCAGTTAGGTATATGAAAGACAAGGTGAACCATAAACCATACCCCCGGCCGGGATTGAACCCGCGGTCATAGAGTCTCAAAACTCCAGCCCGTCGCGTTAGCCACTAGACCAGCTAGCCACAATAAGATTCATCCAACTAGGTATATTTCTACACCATAGGAAAGTTAGCACAGGCACCTCTGTGACCACAAATGCAAGTTTTTACAGACGAATCTCCAGCTAGCGTGGCCGTGACGAACTCTAGCTCAAGTCCCTTCACTGCCGTCAACATGACTCAAGAAATCGTAATGACACGATTGCAAATAAACCATACCCCCGGCCGGGATTGAACCCACGGTCATAGAGTCTCAAAACTCCAGCCCGTCGCGTTAGCCACTAGACCAGCTAGCCACAATAAGATTCATCCAACTAGGTTGACGGCAGTGAAGGGACTTGAGCTAGAGTTCGTCACGGCCACGCTAGCTGGAGATTCGTCTGTAAAAACTTGCATTTGTGGTCACAGAGGTGCCTGTGCTAACTTTCCTATGGTGTAGAAATATACCTAGTTGGATGAATCTTATTGTGGCTAGCTGGTCTAGTGGCTAACGCGACCCGGCCGGGGGTATGGTTTATTTGCAATCGTGTCATTACGATTTCTTGAGTCATGTTGACGGCAGTGAAGGGACTTGAGCTAGAGTTCGTCACGGCCACGCTAGCTGGAGATTCGTCTGTAAAAACTTGCATTTGTGGTCACAGAGGTGCCTGTGCTAACTTTCCTATGGTGTAGAAATATACCTAGTTGGATGAATCTTATTGTGGCTAGCTGGTCTAGTGGCTAACGCGACGGGCTGGAGTTTTGAGACTCTATGACCGCGGGTTCAATCCCGGCCGGGGGTATGGTTTATTTGCAATCGTGTCATTACGATTTCTTGAGTCAGGTGAACCATAGAACTGATGGGGGGAAGGGGGGGGAGTGTGTGGTGCACTGAGGCATCTGCGGAGACAAAGAGCATTATTCCTGAAGGCAAGAAAGGGAATGTATGAGAGCACAGTAGTACCAAAACTCTTGTGTGGGTGTGAAGCATAGGTTGTGAATGTTGCAACGAGGAGAAGGCTAGAGATATCATACCCAAGGGCAATGTGTGGTGTAAATGCTGTGCAGAAAATTCGTAGCTTTAACATTAGGAGGTGCAGGGTTACTAAAAGTATTATCCCAGGGGCTATGGAGGGGCTGTTGAGGTGGTTTGGACATTTAGAGAAGATGGAGGAAAATAAGATGTCTTAGAGGGTGTATAAATTTGTAGTGGAGGGAAGGCAGGGTAGGGGTCATCCTAGAAAAGGCTGGAGGGAGGGGGTAAAGGAGGTTTTGTGTGTGATGGGCTTCCAGTAGGTATGTGAGAGCATGTTAGACAGGAATGGAGGCAAATGGTTAATGGGACTTGGCGAGCTGTTGGAGTGTGACGGGGGTACCATTTTGTTAAGGGATTCAGGAGAAACCAGTTAGCTGGACTTGAGTCCTGGTGGTGGGAAGTACAGTGCCCGTAGTCTGAAGGAGGGGTGGGAATATTTGCAGTTTGGAAGGGCATCTCAACAGTGGTATTGGCATGCTTCTGGCAAGACAGTGATGGAGTGAATGATGGTGAAACTGTTTCTTTTTTGGACCACTACCTCGGTGGGAGATAGGAGTGAATGGTGACGAATAGTTTTTGGGACTTGACAAGCTGTTGGAGTGTGAGCAGGGTAATATTTTGTGAAGGGATTCAGGAAATCATTTAGCCAGACTTTAGTCCTGGAGGTGGGAAGTACAATGCCTGCACTTTAAAGGAGGGGTCTGGGATATTGGCTGTTTGGAGTGACATCTAAACTGTCATATCTGAGTGCCTCTGCAAAGACATTGATTATGTATGAATAATGGTGAAAGTGTTGAACGATGATGAAAGTTTTTTTTCCTTTTTGGGTCACCCTGCTCAGTGGGAAACAGCTGACGTGTTAAAAAATAAATATATAAATATATAAATATATATATATATATATATATATATATATATATATATTTTATATATATATATATATATATATATATATATATATATATATATAATATATATATATATATATATATATATTATATATATATATATATATATATATATATATATATATGTCGTGCCGAATATGTAAAACTGGTCAATTAGCAAGAACTCATTTAAAATTAAGTCCTTTCTAAAATTTTCTCTTATACCTTTAAAGATATTTTTTTTTCATTAATATTAATGTAAAAAATTTTAATTTTGCTCCAAAAGAATCTTAGAAAACTTACCTAACCTTATTACAACAAGAACAATTTATTTTAGCCTAACCCAACTAAATATATTTTACATTTGTTTACAATAATTTAATAGTAAACAAACACAGTGAAATATATTTTTTTCGTTAGGTTCAGAATGATTTTGGCGAAATTATTGCATACACAAATTTTCACTTGTCCTATATGGCAAGATGAGCGTTGCTATTTAAGCCAAGATCGCAAGTTCTGCCTATTCGGCACGACATATATATATATATATATATTGGCAGTTTGGAGGGATGTGTTGTGTATCTTTATATGTGTATGCTTCTAGACTGTTGTATTCTGAGCACCTCTGCAAAAACAGTGATAATGTGCGAGTGTGGTGAAAGTGTTGAATGATGATGAAAGTATTTTCTTTTTGGGGATTTTCTTTCTTTTTTGGGTCACCCTGCCTTGGTGGGAGACGGCCGACTTGTTGAAAAAAAAAAAAAAAAAAATATATATATATATATATATATATATATATATATATAATAAAATACAGTGGAACCTCTACTTGCAAGTTTAATCCGTTTCATGACCTTGCTTGCAACTGGATTTGCTCATTTGCAGAGTCAATTTTCCTCACTTAAATTAATTGAAATGCAATTAATCTGTTCCGGTGGAATTCTGTACTTCAATAATTTCGGTAGTATCAACTCTACGGCTTATACATCTATCTCACTTCATCTAATATGAAATAATAAACAATATAAATAATATAGAAACCTGATGTATACTCTAGAATGAATAAAATATGTCATTATGTAACAGGTGAAGGCGGCCACAACTGCTCCCTCTTTGTTGTGGTAAACACTGCCATCTAGTGACGGCCTTTTTGAAGCCGTCAATTATTATATTATTATTATGTAGTACATTATTATTATATATGTATTATTCTTTTTTTCAACACACCGGCCGTATCCCACGAGGCGAGGTGGCCCACAAGGAAAACGAAGTTTCTCCCTTTTAAAATTTAGTAATATATACAGGAGAAGAGGTTACTAGCCCCTTGCTCCCGGCATTTTTAGTTGCCTCTTACAACACGCATGGCTTACGGAGGAAAAATTCTGTTCCACTTCCCATGGAGATAAGAGGAAATAAACAAGAATAAGAACTAGAAAGAAAATAGAAGAAGACCCAGAGGGGTGTGTATATATGTGCTTGTACATGTATGTGTAGTGTGACCTAAGTGTAAGTAGAAGTAGCAAGACCTACCTGAAATCTTGCATGTTCATGAGACAGAAAAAAGGACACCAGCAATCCTACCATCATGTAAAACAATTACAGGCTTTCGTTTTACACTCACTTGGCAGGACAGTAGTACCTCCCTGGGCGGTTGCTGTCTACCAACCTACTACCTAGGTTATACATATTATTATTATTATTATTATTATTTTTTTTTTCACCAAGTAGGCCGTCTCCCACCAAGGCAGGGTGACCCAAAAAAGAAAGAAAATCCCCAAAAAGAAAATACTTTCATCATCATTCAACACTTTCACCACACTCACACATTATCACTGTTTTTGCAGAGATGCTCAGAATACAACAGTTTAGAAGCACATACGTATAAAAATACACAACATATCCCGCCAAACTGCCAATATCCCAAACCCCTCCTTTAAAGTGCAGGCATTGTACTTCCCATTTCCAGGACTCAAGTCCGACTATATGAAAAGAACCGGTTTCCCTGAATCCCTTCACTAAATATTACCCTGCTCACACTCCAACAGATTGTCAGGTCCTAAGTACCATTCGTCTCCATTCACTCCTATCTAACACGCTCACGCACGCTTGCTGGAAGTCCAAGCCCCTCGCCCACAAAACCTCCATTACACCCTTTCAAGGACGACCCTACCCCGCCTTCCTTCCCCTATAGATTTATATGCTTTCCATGTCATTCTACTTTGATCCATTCTCTCTAAATGACCAAACCACCTCAACAACCCCTCTTCTGCCCTCTGACTAATATTTTTTATTAACTCCACCTTTTTCCTAATTTCCACACTCGAATTTTCTGCATAATATTTACACCACACATTGCCCTTAGACAGGACATCCCACTGCCTCCAACCGTCTCCTCACTGCTGCATTTACCACCCAAGCTTCACATCCATGTAAGAGTGTTGGTACTACTATACTTTCATACATTCCCTTCTTTGCCTCCATAGATAACGTTTTTTGACTCCACATATACCTCAGCGCACCACTCACCTTTTTTCCCTCATAAATTTTCTATTTTTAACCCTCATCCTTAAATAAATCCACCCCGCCACACTCAACTCCCAAGTATCTGAAATCGTTCACTTCTTCCATACTCCTCCTCTCCAATTTGAAAACCCAATTTTCTTTATCTAAATCATTTGATACCCACACACCTTACTCTTAACTATGTTCACTTTCAACTTTCTACCTTTACACAAAATTCCCAAACTCATCCACTAACCTTGCAATTTTTCTTTAGAATCTCCCATAAGCACAGAAATCATCAGCAAAAAGTAACTGTGTCAATTCCCATTTTGAATTTGATTCCCCATAATTTAATCCCACCCCTCTCCCGAACACCCTAGC